TTCGGCTCAAGGCTCGAAAACCATTCGAGAGCTGTTCCGACAAGGTTTTCGGCGAATGTTCTGCAGTAACCTGCCTCGCATTCTTCTCTTGTAAAGTGAGCTTTCACGATAGCTAGTCGGAAGGCTCTCAAATGAGCCTTAGGATCTGAGGTTCCATCGTATTCGGGGATCCTAATTTTTCGGGTATCTTTTATGTAAGAGCTGGCAATTCTGTACGTAAATGGAGTCCCACGGGTTTCCTCAATCAAACTCTCAATTTCGGGAGCTGAGCTCGTCGCTTTGTAAACTTGAGCATTCAACTTTTGGAGAGCTGCATGAGTTTGCTCTATATATCTGCGAATAGCCTTAGGTCCCTCTAGAGAAAGGACAATTGGGTCATTATTAGGTACCTGACGAACAGGTTCCTAACGGAGTCGAGTTTGGCCATTCTTCCAGGCAGCCGCATGGCTAAATTGCTCACTAGCTCTTGGGTTATTTTGATGAGTGTCACCAGTGGGGTGAGCTGTGGGGTCAGCTTCCGCCCTTTAATGAGCGCCCAGATTCAGGGTTACATTTCCAGTTCGATAATCCGAAGCCGATGTTTTGCCCCCAGAAGGAAAGGATATTCCTTCTCCGGACCTGAAAACAAGTGGAGAAGGTGGCAAGCGTGTGCTCTGGTCAGTAACCCAATCAAGCATAGAGCTGGTTGTCGCTACGTTACTTCCCATAGCGCTAGTTACAGGTGGCTTAAATGCGGGAGCTGTTCCAGCATAGGGTGTCTGGAGAACAGGTCCCTGCCTATCTGGAGAACAGGTCCCTGTCGCTACGTTACTTCCCATAGTGCTGGTTACAGGTGGCTTAAATGCGGGAGCTGTTCTAGCATAGGGTGTCTGGAGAACAAGTCCCTGCCTATCTGGAGCAATGCTCTTCAAATCGTTGCTGCTGAGCAGTTAGCTGTTGCAACGTGCGCTCATTCTCTTGAGCTTTGTCTACTAACTGCACCATCATTCGACGGATCTCAGATAGCTGAGCCTCCGATTGATTCGGAGCGGGTTGACGCTGAGGGTTCTCGGGGGCTGTTACCCCGGAGATATTTCCACTGGAGGACCTTGGGTTAGTTATTCCAGTGGTGATCTGGTTCGGTTGAGCACTAGCCGGAGGCTGTTGCTCAGATCGGTGATCGGCGTGTCGAGGCTCCGGGACCGGGAGACTGGAGTCTCTTCCGTTTGGTGAGCCGTCGATCTGGATCACGAGTCGGGGATAAATGGTTTTGTTGCTTGGTTGGATGGATCCATTCTCAAGTTACAGAGTAAGGGATTCGATTATCTCTTCCCCACAGACGGCGCCAAAATGTGAGGGATAAAACTCACTTCCTGATTTTAGGTTAGGTTTAGATTAGAGAAAAGATAATGTGGGCTGAATCCCGTTAGAACTTGTATGAATGAATACGTTTGTTTATATTGATTTTGATAAGAAATGAGTTTACAAAGATGAACTTGATGATCAGAAGTACAAAGATGAATTGAGATGATTACAATGAAGAAAAAGTGTTTAAGTCTTTAGGTCTAAAAATGAGTCGAGAGAGAATCCTTTTCTCTGATCTCCTCCTCCCTTAAATAGCTCTCAGCCACGTTTGAACGACCCTAACCAGCCTCCGAGATTTGCTCCGTGAGTTGGGGGATTCTCAACAGCCTCCTTTTGACCGGGTCCTGCGCAACCAGCCTGAGCTACTCTTGTTAGCTCTTTCTAAATGAGGTCCGGAGCTCTCTTCTGTGACCTGTTTTGTTGACGTCTCTTCCTTAGCAAACAGCCTCCGGCTTCTTTTTAACTCTTTTCTCAAAAGATTAATTGTCAATGGGCTTACAGTGGCCCATAGTCAACTCTTATCGCTCGAGCCCATTAGTCTCAGCTAGCGGGCCATATTTGGACCCAACAGTGTATAAGTTAAATTATTAATGTTTTTCTGCTTATAGTTTTACTAGAGTCTTTCTCCGCTATGCGCGGGTACATGAATAAATAATTTAGATTAGGATCATAATTTACTACGCTCTTTTTGGATTGAGAATATTTTTAAAAAATATGAAAAAGCTTGGTGATAATTAAGTGTTTCTAATTTTTTAAAGATAAAAAGAGTAGCTTAAATGATCATAAATAATGTAAGAAAGAGATAATGTATCTTGAAGAAGCGAAGAGAAGGAGCGGTGATATGGACCATATGAGAGAAATAGTCTAAAAAGTAAAGATTATGTTAGTTAACTCGAATTGAAGGAGATATCAAGACATCTTAATATATATTAAAAAAATACATACATGGCATAGCTGGGTAGAGTCTTTTCCCGGGCTATGCGCAGATTTATTTTCATAAAATTTTAATTCATTTTAAAATATTATTTATATTTAAATATGTAATATATATAGGCAACTTTGACAAATATAAAGTTTTAAAATGAAATTTCACTTCTTAGAATATAAAACGTAAATAATGAATAAAAACACATATTACATTATTTAAAGTATTATTACAGTAAAATTAGTTAAAACTCCAATAACTTAAAATTTTGATTTCTTAACTATTTTTTCACTCTATCTGATTCGTATTGTATAATTACTGACTAAGAGTTTAAGTTCTTCTCAATAAAATCAATCTCTCTAGAAATACACATGAAAAATAAATTGTTGAATTTTCTTACAATTTCAAAAGTACTGGATCTAATAATTTTATCACCTAGATAAAAGGTAAACAATTGATTTATTGAATATTTTCAGAAATTTCATAAATGTTGTAGAGGTAATTGGTAAGTTCTATGAGTATTTTTTTACTGTTCTTTTTCTGTTTACAGTCATTTTAATTTATCAATTAATTTTTTAAGAAAATAATTTAAAACTACAACCCAAAATTTAAATTAGGAAATATATTGGTTTTGGAAATCATTTTTAAAATATATATACTTTAGTATTTTGAAAGAAATTAATATAAATTTACATCAATCTAATCTAAAGTCACAGAAAAAAAAACTTACACCATACATTCTAAATCAAAATAACTAAAGTCACATCCTCTACCAATCCAACCCTGTTATGAAAACTAATTATTTCTATTTTTTTACTTTTTTCTATATATTGTTCTCAGCTAAGTATTATCTTTTTAAAAATTATTAGTTTTCATGAGGTTTTTATTTTTCATCATCGATGTTCCAAGAATGAAGGTAGAAGACATTATAGAAATTAGATACTAAGTGTTAGTTATATATTTTTATATTGCTGATGTGAATTTTCCTACTGACCCCCGTTAAGGAAAATAAAATACCTTTTAATCAACATCTTATATAGCACAATCGTAATAAATTATTAAATATAGATCAAATAATATTTTCTAAAAAATAATTATTGAGATTTGGGTAGTGAGTTTTTGCATCCAGATTATTAATTATGAAATGTTTTGTATTAAAATAATACAAATGATTGTAAGATACTAAAAACAACCAAAATATGACTCAAATGACGTCTAGTGTATGCTATGCACTAAACTATGTATATACAAACGTGCGGATTATACATATTTTATGTTATTAAATTTAGAAGAAATTTATTTTTTACGATAAATTTTATATCACTTTTAAATTTACTTTTAAATAAAATTATTTTCATAAATATTTTAAGCTTGTGATGAAAAAAAACTAAACTAACTCTTCTAAATCATTTCTAAATATTTAAAAATTATTTATAAATATTTATAGAAGTTTATAAACTAAACCTTACCTCCTAAATATTAAATCCTAAGTAGTTACTAAACCATAAATCCAAATGTTATAATATTATTGCTTGAAAGTGATACTAAAAGTGATATATAAATTTTAATTTTTTTTTTTACCAAACAATACCAACCCTTATCAAAATTCCGAACCAAACTAACTAAAAACCAAATCGAAATAACCAAATTATAGCTATCAAAGAGGAAAATGAGCAAAAGAGGTTTTATTAAATGGTAAGTATGTATTTATACCATAAGGTTTTAATCTAGACTTTAGGATTTAGAGTTAAGGGGTTAAATTTTAGAGATGTTATGTCAATTTTTTTAAAAAAAATATTACAAATTTTAATATAAAAGGAGCTATTTTTGTCATTTTATTTTACGATGATTATTTCAAAAATAAAAAATGTTATTTTAGAAAATTGCCCTAAGTTTTTTTCAAATACAGCAACTCCTAAAAAGTGGGTAAAAACTTCAGCAATATTAATCTGCCAAACTTTATCCGGCTCCAACCCTTATTAAGTTAATGCAAATTTGTCATTTCTGAAACAAATTTCATTATTATTGTTTACTTTCTATTTGTCTGTAAGAAGCAACTAAATTAAGTACCATGATTTGTTGGAAGACCTCATAAAAATAGATTGATATTCACATAAATAATTTGTTTATCTCTAATCTTACTAACGTACACATAGACTGTCATGCATTCAATCTGTTACAATACCATGAATTGAAGCTTAAAAGTACCAGTCTGAAATCAAACAAACTGCTGTAATATTGGCAGAGATTACATTGTATGGCAGAACAAAGAAAGCCTCAATAAGAGATAATAAAGCTCTGAGTTCCATGGAAAAGAGGGGACGGAGGAGACACCCCTATGGCATGATCACCGAGGTTTACAGTGGACAGAAACGTAGCTGCAGTATGATCTAGTTGCAACGCAATTATGCTGATACCCTGGCTAGGCTCCAATACCAGGTTTATTCTCTGCATAATAATTTGTTCCTCTCATGTTATGTTTTCTTTTTAATCCAATACTGCTATCATCAATCGCAGAAGTTAGTGATCTAAGAACCTATAGAACACAGATAATTGAAGCACCTGCCATGGAAAATGAACTTTGGGTCATCTTCTCTGCATTGTTCAGTGTTTTCAGCTCTTGAAAATATGAGACACCCAACCTACGGATCTGCTTCTGGACGTGGGGCTCCACCACGTCTCTGCGAGCTATGCTTATCAACGTCCCTAAGCATTGCTCTCTTCGAATTCATCACTGGTACTTGTAAAGACCTTTTGGCATGACGGATGCAGTAGTTACTTGGAAAGGAAGGATCACCCCGTCAGCCAAGATCTCATCAGCTGGTGAAGGATCAAAGGTTCTGGAAATGTGGAACTCGAAATTTTGATTTGATGAATCTAAAAGTGTTGTGTCTCTCCAAATTAGGCCTCCTGATGGTTGTTGTTGTTGTTCCATTGGAGGAGGTGCTTTATCTGATTGGCCGAGATCACTTGGAAATGAAATCCGCGGGTCATTTGACTCCGCACGAATAATGATGGTCCTAAGCTGCAACAATGAGAAGATGACGAAATGAAAAAGGTTTAGGAGACCTTAATGTTCTGAAATGTTAAGAGATTAAAGCTCTTAAGTCTATGTATTAGAGTTGAAAACCTTTATTATAATTATAGATGTGTGGCGTGCCACTACTGCAAGAGACGGAAAAAATAGAAAAATCATATCTAAAATGAGATTTCAATGGTTGAGTTAGTACCTTACCTTCTACTTTAAGTGTCCAAAGGTACAGTGTATTCTTTCTTTCTTTCTTTTCTGTTCTCCTAAGCTGCAAATTGATAACGTGAGCCACCTTGAAGTCTTTCAACGATATATCATAACAACTTAATTATGGCTTTTTATTACCTGAAAGCTGGTTTGGATACTACATTTCAGTAGAACCGATGGGTAACTGCAGAATTTTATTGACTATGGTTAAACATGAGGATGCAAGACCAAAAAGGTTTCTGAAGATCAGGTGTGTTATCATCATCTGCCTTATTTTACAAAAAAAAAATCATTATGCAAAACCTAATTGCAGATGGAGCAAGTGTCCCAGCTCAGGTGTTCAACAAAATACAACAGTGTTTGTAACTCAACTTACCAAAGAGAGAAGGGAAGCTGTCTGAAACCTTTGAAATGTTGTAAAAGGAATCTTGGGTCTGAAACCTGCAAAGTTGTCACAAAATATCTAACAGCAGAGACATTGTTGCTCAGCAGAGTTTCTTGACACAAACATGTTCAATCTTAGGAAGATATGATTTTTTTAGCACAATCTTAGCAAAATAAAAATATTAGCAACTCCCGAGTTGCTAAATAGTAGAGACAGAATACAGAGATGTAAGAAATTTTCAGAGACCTGCATTATTGATTAACAGATAAAAGAAACAGCTGGAGATTCCATTCCATTGCCATGGAGATTACAATTAGCTTTTGGGTAATGAAAAAAAATACCAGTTGTCTCTCTCTTTCTTACAATAGAAGAAGTCATTCACTTAAAAAAAACCATTTGCTACATTCCCTTTGCTTCCTTTTTTACAACCTGAAAGTAGAAAATAAACAAACAAAGATGATACACAAGAAGAATGTCTTGGGACTTGAAAATATAAGGAATCAGACCGACCTTTTGATCAAGTTTCAGCAGCAGCCTCAGGGATGTAGTAAGAGCCTGCTGTTACTTCTTCTGCTAGGTGGATCCACGACGGATATGAGAGAGAGAGAGAGAGAGAGTCTCTCTCTCTCTCTCTCTCTCTCTCTCTCTCTCTCTCTCTCTCTCTCTCAGAGAGAGAGATGATGAAACTCTACAGAAAAAAAACACATTCGTCGGGCACCAGAAAATCAAGATTGGATTTGATACCCGATACAATCAGTAGAGGAACTGTCAAAGCCACTGCACTCAGCCCAGGTGGATCCAGGACGGATATTTCCTCCTCCAATAACAATCGCAATCTGTTGTAAAAGTATAAGAAGATTAAGACATCATACATAACCTTGTAATGCTCACGACCCATACACAACATCCTTCTTCACGTTTGTTACACTTGAGAGCTTTAATTTGGCGTTACCAAAGAATCAATCAGTGATTACTGATGTGCAAATAAGCTTTTAAAATTTTGAGATTGCAAAATCAATCAAAATCAAAGATTAGAGTGGTTAAGATTGTGTCAGAGCATCGTTGTTGTTAAGAAGGAAGGATAATAGGGAATTAACCCGGCTATGAAAATATTTTGCTCCGCTTCGCTCATCAGCTCCATCACAATACGTCTCTCTTCCTCGACAGTGCACGGAAAGTCACAACCCATTGATTCGGAATCAGAGATTATCATCTTAATCAAATCACACTACACAATAGATTAAAAGATCTCGAATCAATAGCTAAACCAGGATTGATCAAGAAAATCAGTTTAGGTAGACGTACGGTGGAATCGGAGGAAGAAGATTCGAGAAATTGAAGGAAACCAAATCTAGGGAAACACTTTTTCCTCTGTCAAAAAATTGAGAAAAAGATAAGAAGATTGTGAAGGGAACCCTAGATCAAAGGAAGGAGACAAAAGACCAGACCGCGTTGGAGAAACCGGCAGACCGCGTTGGAGAGGAACCGGCAAAGATAGGGAGAAGACTTGTGATCAGATTCACGATCCCTTTTATGCCCTTTCCTCTTCTCCAGTAAACAACGTCCAAGAAGCCGAAGTAGAAGATTTAGATGTCAGATTCTATTTGTTTACGTGGTACTAAAGCTGACATGTCATCTCTTTATGGCCTGAATAAATTTGAGGACGTGGACACTCTCTCTGTTGAGGATATCCTCCTTTTATTATTGTTTGATACATGAATCTTTATATTTTGATTGTTATAGTTTTTGTGAGTTCATCTCTTTCATGGCTTTGACAATGGTAGTAGAATGAAAGAGCAATTACACTGAAACAAAAAAAAATATTATACTGAAACAAGATGAACTAAGTGACATTTGTATCAAAACCATTTTAGCATGAATTAGTCACCCACTATNTTTTATTATTGTTTGATACATGAATCTTTATATTTTGATTGTTATAGTTTTTGTGAGTTCATCTCTTTCATGGCTTTGACAATGGTAGTAGAATGAAAGAGCAATTACACTGAAACAAAAAAAAATATTATACTGAAACAAGATGAACTAAGTGACATTTGTATCAAAACCATTTTAGCATGAATTAGTCACCCACTATAGTAAATAGTTGTTGTTATTATACATAAAAACAAGAAGCATTTATAATAGATGGATGATGTAATGATCGTGCAAGTTCGTAGATTATGTGAGAAAAAGTTCAGTTACATATCATGTATTAGCATGTAATATCCAGACAACTACAATATAGAATTTAACAACAATATAAATTTGTTATACTTTGTTAGTTGTTATTTGATCACCAACCAATTCTGAAAATAACCAAAAAATTAGTATTTGTGCAAATGCGATTATGGACATTAATAAATTAATTAATTATATATTTGCAGAAACATCAAAGTAGATGTAGGACGAAGAGAAAAAACAATTCGCGAGATAATTTTCTAATACCTTTGAAAGTTATAAATTTGATGCTTCTAAAGCCGAAATAAAATTTAAACCAGATGAATATCTAACATTTATTTTAAATAAACTTAAATAAGTAAGATAAAATATTCAGATAAAACTAAAATTTAGTTATATTATATGTTTTTACATTACATAAATATACAATTTTCAATACTAAAAAATAACAAATAACAAATTTTGAGAGGTAATAATTCAGATCTGTTAAACAAAAAACCCTACATATTTGGAAAGCTTTCTAATGCTTTATGTTTTAATAATATTAATATATATATATATATATAACAAATTTTGAGAGGTAATAATTCAGATCTGTTAAAAAAAAAAACCCTACATATTTGGAAAGCTTTCTAATGTTTATGTTTTAATAATATTAATATATACTAGAGTTATTCTCGGGCTACGCCCGAGTTATTTTCTATATATTTTAATAAATTTAGTTTATTTTATAGTTTGTACCTCAACATAAAATATATATTTTATACTTAGATTGATTACGCTATATAATAAATCACATTATTAATCGCAAAATTTTATTAATTTACTAATTTCTGAAACCTTTAATAACATTACATGCATACATAGATGTTGGATTTATAGGAGCCACCAAATTTCTAAATTCCAAACCAAAATAATTCAATGGTATTGTTCCTTACATCCATACCTAGGGATGTTAAAATATGGTGTTCAAAAAAGGGATTTTATCTGCATACATATAAATACATTATGTATGATCTATAATATTCTTTTATCTCCATTATTTACTTTTACGTAAAACAACTGTTAAACATATAACTATAATACTGTGTAATTTGTTTGGTTCTACAATTATAAAGTTTCCAGCCGATTTGTAAACCGATTCTTAATTTGGTTGATTCATTTTATTTTTTTTAGCTAAATTTAAAATTTTCATTTGTTGTTTGATATTTGTTTTGATTACTTGTTGTGCAGCTTGAAATGGAGCTCACATATATGCTCTGGGTGTCGAAGTGGACGTGTTTTAATAGTGAGATGCGATTGGTTCATTGAAGTTAAAAGACCTATTCATATTGTACACATATTTAGCTTGAAGTTAATAATCTCTTGTGTTCCATAATGTATAATGTAAACGTGCACACTACAAAATATATATGTCGAAGTAAGAAGAGGATATAAACCAATTGTAATCGTAGAGGAGTGTTAAAATACTTCTAAAATACTTGTATATGTGGCAAACATAAATCTGCTAATAACTTCTATTGGATATCCTTGTGTTTTCAATTATAATCCTAAGATATAAAAATCATTAAGTTTTGTTTTTGCCCGCCCTTGTGTTTGTCACAGCTTAAGATAGATATTTAGAGATTTAATATCAAGCATCTAATAGTGGACATGGGAAGAGAAGAAGCACGGTGAATAAAACCTAAGCTACATTTGTTCTTAAGGTAATGGAGTAGGTACAATTGTTGTTACTGACTCCAAACATTATAAAAAATTGATATCATATCACATATTTAGTGGAGCCGTGACGAACAGTATGATGAATGGAGACCGATGGTTGCGCTGGTGCTGGAGCAATGCAAGTCTCTAGCTTTCTAGCTAATGGCTTTTGATGCACCTGCATGGATTCGTGTAGAAACGGAAAACCGTGAGAAACTACGCCCTTGTTACTGTCATCAAGAACAGCCACTGGGATTGCAGGTTGCGCGACATGGCTAGGCTTATTGAAATTTTGAGCTTGAAGATGATTGCGTTGCGGCTCATGAGGGGGTTCAGAGACAGGTTCTTCCGGAGAAAGTTAAGTCCTTACGTTACTATGTCGCTGGCTTCTTGAAGATTTTCAGCAATGCCTCCAAGGTTAAGAGCAGCTGACCACAGTAAAAAAAAACACCACAATAAACACACTATGATTTGATTGGGTATCTTAAATCCCTAAAACCTTATTTTGAACACTAAAATGGAGACTTTCTGAAGAGTCAAAGAGACAAAGGAAGAAAGATAGATACCTTCAACTCAAGGATGCAAAATATGGCCAGTTTCAGTGCTATCATATCTTTAATAATGGTGTCAATGGCATCACTGACTCTATTCCACATAGTATCACCATCTGTATACTTTTCCTAATAATGTTAAACCCCAAAAGTCAGTAAGATTCTGTTATGGAGAATGTTTTAAAAAAAAACACAAAGAACACTTGGTAAGAAGAGAGGAACCTTGGAGTTGGTTTTAGAGTACATGATTTCCTCGGCTTTCAAGACAACAACAGGAAGCTTATCCTGCCATTCTTTGTTCTTCCTCGTAGCCGCACTGTGAGTTTTCATGGCGAGTCTGAAACCCTCAAAGGATTAGAAACCCTAAAAAAAGAGTGTAACTGAGAGAGGAGGGAGGAAACCTCGAATGGGTTGGTGATGATCACTATGCCAATCTTGTTTTCACACAATCGTAAGGTCTTAGACCTAGTCGAGGCAGATCGTCCTATCATCATCCACATAATCATCACAAAGAATGATCCTTTTTAAGGAAAAAAAGAAACCAATTAATAATCAAACTTATTGATAAGCTTGAAAAATAAAGAGAGTAGATTAGTTACATAAATATTGAAGATTTGGCTAATGATACTCTGGAAACGCTCTTGAACCATAGGAGGAGGTCCTTGTCCTTGAGCTTGACGGAATCAGGAGAAGAAGGGACTTGTAAATCATCTCTGCAAAAGGAGTAACATAGTGTAAGAAGAAAAGGAGCTTAGAATCACAGTTCAAAGAAGAAGATTTCTCAAAGATATCACCTGATGGACCAAACTCTTTGATGAGGAGAGGGGAGATTGCCAGAATATAATACAACCTTCGGAGTTGATGATGAACAAAACCGTCTTTTGTCGGCTAAGCTGTAGGAGGTGATGAGAGGCGATGAGAAAACCTAATAGCTATATGGGCCATCAGTCAAGCATGGACCTCTTAAGCTAACAAACTGAAGCCCACTCGAAACCAATCCAGTTGGTGACCTGGACTAAAACTGAGTTTCTATTGGTTGAATAAAATTGTTGACGTGGCTTCATCATAAGCAAGGATTAAGCCCTTTTAATATAGTTTAGATTAGATATATATATATATATATATATATATATATATATATATATATATCTTACAATTAAAGTTACAAGTGGTTTTATTTATAAAAGATCTGATTAAAAATAAACTTTGAAGATAAAGGCGTTTAATTGTGTCATGGACTCATGAGTCCCAGGGTGATTACATTAATAGACATACTATCTAAGAGCATCTCCAAAGAAATTCTATAACTTCGAAATATAAAGTTTTTTACTCTCCAAAAGATAATTTCCAAACTTCAAATTTGAAGTTTGATTTTTTTATTTGTATTTTAGTCTTTGTAATTACAAATAAAATTTATAACTAGTAAAGATTTTTTCGTTTATCTTTTTAATACTACAAATTTTTATATCTAATAAATATTTCAAATTAGTTCTGATCTTTTTTATAAATTTAAGTTTTACAGATAAATTAAATACAGTTTTAAAATATTTCAAAATTAAAATTAGGTAACAAGAATATTACAAAGGAAACTTACTATTGCTTGTATTTAAATATTTTAATAATAGAATTAGACAACAAAAATATGGTATTTTGCTTTAATATTTAATTATGTATTTGTATTTATAAATTTATATTTTAGTGTAAACTTTTATTAATTAATATTGATGTATAGTTTTTATATATGTGTTATTTTTAATTTATTTATGAATTTACATTAATTATGACAACTATAAAGACTATAGTGTATTAACAAAATAGAGAAAAAGAAAGTTACCTTAAAGCCCAAGCGATAAGTTAAGCGACTCGAGGGTTTCATGCTTCCACCGGCGTGTGACGTGAGTTCCATTGCCGGCTGGATCCCTCTTTTCCCTTACTTCTTTCTATTTGCTCCCCTTCTCTTTCTTTCTATAGCGTTGATATGTCAGACCCCCTGGTGGCCGGTTCATCAATGGATTTATAGATCTGTCCGGACAGAGCTAGATCTGGTACTCTGAAACTTTCCTCTGGTGGTTCTACGAGATGTTGCAGGTTCTGAAGGAGGGTGAGTCGGCTTTTAGAGTTTTGATTTCGGTGGATCTATTTTCAAGTTCTTTGATTTGTCTGAGTCATAGCAGTGACAACGAGTGAAGTTGGTGGTCCTTTGTTTCTCCTGAATATTGATGTCTCTATGTTTTGAGTTTGACATTTGATTTAGCAGACTTTCTTCCAAAGGTGGTGAATGTAGTGATTGCTTGTCCGTTTCTTTTTCGGCGAATGCGTCCAGTAAGTCACGGCTGGTAAGACTTCGTGGTGTTATGGTTGGGCTTCTATCTAGAAGTAAATGGACGCTGTTGATTGTGTCGCATCCGTATCCGAAGGTTGTGTTGAACGAGTTGTGATCCCTCTTGTCGGGTTATGAAGTCTCAGGTTCTTGGACGTTATCGTTTGGCGGACATAGACAGCAAAGATAAGTCGTCATATGGGTGTTAGAAGTGGATTTTATCGTGTGGCGGGGCTTTGAGCAGCAGCGGTAAATCCTGATCATTGACATGTGCTTATTTCTAAAGTCTGATGAGTTGATATGTTTTAAGTTCAATGTAGTAGTTAATCGATCTTCTGGTTTAGTTGCAGTTTTAGTTTGTATGCTTTGATTTTGTAAGTTACTTCGGTGTGGATTTTAGTTGCCGCTTTCTATAGGCTCTTATTTCTGGGATTGTCTCGTTAAGCCACCAGCTTATGTATGAACTCTTGTATTTCATTTTGGAATGAATATCAACACTATTGACGGAAAAAAAGACTAGTGTAAAATCTATATTATAATGATTCAGTTTAAAGGCTCCCTAAGGTGTCCACATAGGCAGATTGTGGGTCCCATATTTTTATATTAAAATAGATAGTTGTTTTAAAATGGCTACAAACAAAGAATATCAGTTTAGTCAAGTGGTCTAAGACCCCATGTTTGGTCTCCAAGGACATGGGTTCAATTCTCACTGCTCTCATGTCATCATCATAAAAATATTTTTTAAACACACATAGTCTTGGTAAGATGGTTACATACAATGAAATACACTTTAGCCAAGTGGTATAAGGTGTCTAATTAAGTATGTAAGATTGTGGGTTCAAACCACGCAGCTATCATGTATTTATGATTTTTTTTATTTAGGTTATTATCATATGGGCTTTTTGTTTATAAGGTTCTTATGTTTTTTTTTGGCTTATTGTTTTAAAGATCAAAATAGTTGTATAAACCCTAAACCTTAATAAGTTCAAACCCAAAATAGTTAAAAATGAATCCAAAACGAATAATAAAACAAAAAACAAAAAAAAAACAAGTCTCACGTGGTTGCCTAAGCGGTTAAAACTATCCTATTATAATATATCTCAACCCAAAAATAATAAAAAATAAATCCAAAAACGAACAGACAAAAAAAAAAAAAAAGTGAATTCCACGCGGGTGCATACGTGGATGGCTTAATGAGGGTTGAATAATATAGATTAGGAGTTCAAAAAGTTAAATCATTGCACATATTTCCTAATATATATTTTCAAAAAATTTGTATGTGAGATAAAATAAAATAAAACAACAAAAATTAATTATTTTCGTTATTATTAAATGAATATATAATTTCTCTTACGTTTTAATAACTACNATAATATAGATTAGGAGTTCAAAAAGTTAAATCATTGCACATATTTCCTAATATATATTTTCAAAAAATTTGTATGTGAGATAAAATAAAATAAAACAACAAAAATTAATTATTTTCGTTATTATTAAATGAATATATAATTTCTCTTACGTTTTAATAACTACTATAATTTCCTTGAAAACATTCCTCACCACCGATTTCAGACTCCGACGAATGGATTCCCACAATCGATGATGCCGTAGATAAAAATGCCACATCATTTATGAACAAAACTCAAACTTACAAAAAACCATATATAAAAGCCTATCTAATGAAACTTAAACAACGAATATTAACTTAATTAAGGTTATTTTCAAATTGATAAATCGTTTAATACAAATATAGATACTATAAATATAGAATTATATCAAGTTTTCATCTACAATATAAAAACTATTTACAGCAAAAAAAAAAAATACACCTACTTTTACACACTAAAAACTATATTATAGCCTAACTATTCCTATACACCTTACTTCGCATATAAATAACATTTAACACATTCCAAATATTTTTCAAAAAAATTGTATGTGAAATAAAATAAAATAAACAACAAAATTTAAGTAAGTTATTTATTAAATGAATATGTAATTTCTCTTACATTTTAATAACTACTATAATTTCATTGAAAACATTTCTCACCACCGACTCCAGATTTCGGCGAATGAATTACCACAGTCGATGCTCCGTAGATAAAAATGCCACATCATTTATGAACAAAACCGAAACTTACAAAAAACCATATATAAAAACCTATCTAATGAAACTTAAACAACGAATATTAACTTAATTAAGGTTATTTCCATATTGATAAATCGTTTAATACAAATATAAATACTATAAATATAAAATTATATCAAGTTTTGACATACGATATAAAAACATGAAATTTTACATTTCATTATTAATTGGTGTCATTAGAAGAATCCACTAAACCAACAATCGAAAAAAATACACACAAACATAATGATCCCGGCCCCGCGCTTGCGCGGGGAATATGCAACTAGTATAAATAATTTTGAAGTTATGTTTGAATTTTTATTTTTAGAGAAGAATACCTTGAATTTCAAAATATAGAATTTTAGAAACTTTAAAATAGAGAGAGTTTTTGGAGATGCTCTAAGCCAGCACTGGCTTTAGTTGGCTTTACAACGAGGTCTCCATCTGTCTTAATTTCCTTTTTCACATCCCACTGCTTTTTGTTTCTGGGTCAGAAGCAACAATATAACATTCGACACATTATTATCCAATTTAGCAAATGTCAATTACAGAGATTATTGAGAAACTTCAGCAGTAGATGTATAAGCTTTGTTATAAAAGTTTGAGTACTGATAGAAACATGTGATTGAAAAGCCTTTTTAAAGCGCAAACTGCCGTTAAAGTTTGACAACTATATAATATGTATAATTACAGTACAGCTGCCTACATAAACTATATGTTAATGAAAGGTAAAAGGAAGAGCATAATTCAGACGTGCGAGCAGAAAAGTAGCCCGGACTTCGCTTCTTGATTAATAAAAAGCGTCAAACAGAGAATGAGATGAACATTTACAGTATATAGTTTTTTAGCATTATATAGTGGAAAGTTCCTCGGAAACATCAC